TGTGTGTGTGTGTGTGTGTGTGTCGCGTGTGTCGCGTGGGGATGTGTGGGGATGTGTGAGTGTGCGCCAGGTTCGGAGAAGAAAAGAAAAAGAGGAAGAGGAAGAGAGGAAAAAGAGAAGGAGAGAGGAAACGAGACGCCAAAGAAGCAAGACAAGACGCGGAGGGAGACGAAAAAAAAGGAAGAAGAAAAAGAGACAAGAGCAATGGGCTGTAGGCGGCTGGCCAAGTCGCACCTGCCACGGCTGCCCGGTGAACCGGGTCCAAGTGTGCGTCCACCTCGTCCAACAAGTAAAAGGGGGCCGGGTCAAAGCGCTGGATGGCAAAGATGAGCGATAGCGCCACCAAAGTCTTCTGGCCACCAGAGAGAGCCTGAATCGGCCGCAGATCGGCAAGGGGCTCCGATCCGCTCGGGCCAGTCGGCTCACCGAAGGCCACATGCACCGAGACGCCGGTCAATCGGCCAGAGGGCCCGGAAGACCGCTCCAGGCGCAGCTCTCCCCTTCCGGCGGACACCAGTTCGGCGAATACCTGGCCAAAATGCCCAGCCACACTGGTCAGTGTCCGCTCGATGGCCTCCTCGCGCGTTTGTTCCAGGAACTCCATCAGCCGGCCGATGGATGCGGCCGATTGGTCCAGCTGCTGCAAGCGGGCCTGGGCCTGCCGCAGGTTGTCGGCATACGCCCCATGTAGCTCGACCGCGTGGCGGTTTACATGGCGATAGTCCGCCAGCTGGGCATTGATGGCTTCCAGGGCCGCCATCAAGTCCGGTGTCGCCAGCTGGGCATCCACGTTGGAGGGGCTTTCCGGTCGGCCGGATGCCGCGACAGCCTGATCAAGCTCACTCAGTTCAAGGTCCTCCAGTTGGTGCTCCAGCCAGGCAATGCGTTCGCGCAGGAGCTGTTGCGACTCCTGGGCCCGGTCGCGCTGGGACATGGCACGTTGCTCATCGCGGAACATCCTCCGGAAGGAGTTCTAGCCCGGGGGAGGGCACCGCGAACAAGTGTCGGACCATGTGAGAAGGGGTTCCCAAAGGGAGGACGGCCACGCGCAAGCGCAGCCAGTTGGAACGCATGCGAGATGAGTTGAACAAGGGGAGACACAAAACATCAGACAGGGACGGGGCAGCTGGGCCGAGGGACACCAGGCATCGGAAAAGCAAACCACCAAACAAGCCCCGAGCGTACTTTGGAGTTCTGAATTTGCGCCTCCAGGGCTGTGGTTCGCCGGGCAGCCTCCGCTACAGCCCGCTCTTTCTCTGAGGGCAACAAGTCCCGAGTCCAATGGGGGGGGGAGCGGGGGCCGAGTGAGCGAGCAAGCGGACAGGCGACAGGGGGGAGGCGCGCATCGCTGGTCAGTGCACACAAAAGCAGGCCCCACGGGCCGAGGGGGAGGGGAAAAGGCCGATGGGGCGACAAAGCCAACCACAGGCACGGAGGCCGATCGAATCATGGCCACGCACCTCGGCGCTCCGCCTCGCAAGCAGCCAACTCCTGGTTCGAGCGAGCCAGTTCGGCCTGCAGCCACGCGAGGCGATCAGCCTGGGGGTCGGCCGTGGAATCGCCCTCCGGTCCCCGGGCGGACAGGTGTTGCTCAATGGACTGGAGCTGGCGCTCCAGATTGGCCACATGCGATCCGAGGGCTGCCCCTTCGGAGCCCAAGGCCTGGGCCATTTGCTCGGCCCCGGCCAGGCGCTCTTGCAGGGACGCCTCTTCGGCTCGGAGAGCCATGCGCTGGGCCTCGGCGGCCGGCCCTCCGGCTCGACCAACATCCTCAAGCATGGTGTCCAACTCGGCGAAGCGTTGTCGGGCCCGGTCTGCGGCTTGGGTCTGGCTGGCCAGCCGCGCGGCGAGGCCCTCAAGCTGGGCCAGCTCATCGTCCAAGGCCTCGCGCGCGGCACGGGCCTGGCGGACCTGCTCGGCCGCCGCACCGACGGCCAGCTGGGCGGCCGCCAACGGCCCGAGCTCCAGCCGGCGCACATCCTCATCGAGCGCGCGCAGTGCAGCGGCCGCGGCAGCACCGGCCACAGCGCGCACATGGTATGCCGCACGCGCACGGGCTGCCTGGTCCGAGGCCGGGAGCAGCGCCCGGCGGGCATTCCGGAAGCCTCCCGTCAGGGTCCCGGTCGGGGAGATGACATCTCCCTCCAGGGTGACGCAAGTGATGCCATACCGGTCGGCCGCCTGGGTGCCGGTGCGCACATCCGGACACAGGGCATACCCGGCGAAGAGCATGCGCAAGATGGGATGGAAGCGCGGCTGGACATACGGCCGGAGCTCCAACTCGAAAGACCGGCAGCTGTCCGGGTAGGACCACTCTTCGTCCGGACCGGCGGCCGTGCTGCCGGCCACGGTCAATGGGGCGAAGGTCACGGCCCCCTGGCGCCCGGGGCCACTGCGCGACCAGTCGTGAAAGGCCTGAGCCACCGAGTCGTCAGCCACGACGACATAGTGCAGACGACCGCCGGCGGCCGCCTGAACTGCGGTGCTCAGTTCCTCCGGCACACCCTGCAGCAGGCCAAAGAAGGGCCCGAAGCAGCATCGCGCGGTTGCTGCTTCGGCTGCCCCGGCAATGGCCTCCACCACGGCCGAGGCACTCTCGCTGCCAAGCTGGGACATGTCCTCCATGGCGACCAGGCGCTCCGGCGGCACAAGCCACCAGCCGGGAGCCACCCCCTGGGCGAGACTCCATTCGGCCAGACTGGCCAAGCCCCGCCGAGTGGGGCCGGGCAATGCCCGCTGCAGGTGGTGATCCGCCCGCAGGGCGTCAGCATACTGCCGAGCAAGGGCATGCTGCTCGTCGCCCTGTCGGCGGCCGGCCTGCTGACGAGCGTCCGCCAGGTCCTTCCACTGGCGGGTGGCTTCGGCATGGGCCGCTGCGGCGGCGGTGGCCGCATCCTCGGCCGCGGTCACATTGGCATCCAGCCGACGAGCCGCGGCCGCCGGGTCAGCCGCCTCGCGCTGAGCAGACGCCACCCGGTCTTGCAAAGTCGCCAAATCGGCCTCCAACTGCCGGACAGCCTCGGCTGCCTGGCGACGCTGGTCGGCCACCCACTCGGCTCGGCCCGGGCCGTCCGCCGGCAGGGTGGCCACCGCCTGCAAGGCGGCGAGCAGCGAGCGCGTTTGCCCGAGCGAGGCCGCCAAATCCCGGCGATCGTCCGCCAGCTGGTCCACGCGGCCGTGGAGTTCCTGCTGGCGGATTTGCGCCGCATCCAGAGCTCGCTGGAGGGCCGCCCGGCGCCGAGTGAGCCCGGCAGTGGCCTCGCCCGACCGGGCCTCCAGCTCCAACCGAGCCTCAAGGCGCGTGGCGGCGGCCGACAGTTGAAACAATCGGGCCGCATGCTGGCGCAGCTGCTCCTGGCCAATGCGCTCATCCTCGCGACTGCGCCGGAGGGCTTCCTCCTGGTCGGCCAGGGTGGCCTGCTGGCTGTCCAGCCGGTGGGCTTGCCCGAGACGGGCTGGCGTCGAGCCGGCAAGGCTCCCGTGTGCGGCCTGGCGCGCGCGCGAACGCGGGGTCTGATATGCGGCCATGTCACCCGGGCCCAAGCCGGATGCCCCGCCGGCGGCCACACTCAACTCCTGCAAGTGGGCTTGGCTTTCTTGGAGTTCGCGCGCATAGAGAGCCCGGCTGAGCCCTCGACGACGCGCGTCCAGCCGGTTGAACTCCCGCAAGTCGGCCAATTCCTGGGTCAGTTCGGCCAGCCGGCCGGCGATTTGCCCGACCGCGTCGTCCACCTGCGCGCGCTGCTCCTGGGTCAGGTCCAACAAGCGCCGAGCGTCGGCCTTCTTCTCTTCGAAAATCTGCGTCCCGGCAATGCCCTGTAGCAGAGCCAGGCGCTCTTCGTCGCGCTCCTCGGCCACGGAGGAAATCTGCCAGCGGCAAAGTGTCAGCCTACGAGGGGGCACGCGTGTTCCGGGTGATTGTGTGGCCGCTGGGCCCGATATGTGCGCCGGCGGCATTTTTCAAGGGCACAAGCGAATGGATGGAAAGCACTCGGAAGCCGACTGTTCACGCACTCGGCCCTGGGGAACAATGTAGAAGGGATTCGTCTGGGAGAAGCCCACCGATTCGAGCAGGCTCAGGATTTCTTCCCTCCTAAGTGGCATGAACGAGCCCCGGCATGGAGGGCAACAATGGTGGTCAGACGTGGCACCCATCAGGGAGCCCACAGGCGCAAGAGGGCGCACCGCTTCGGCTTGTCATCCAGGAAGTACTCCTCCTTGAGCTGGTTGATCGTCCGCCTGAGGGACAGCTCGGGCTTGGGGGTCTAGTGTGACGAGTTAGAAGAAGGCCAATCCGCTCACCCATCAAGGGAAGTGGCCACACACCGGCAAGCGACCGTCGCGATTGTCCAGAACCAGCTCCACGCTGGCATCCGTGAAGTTGACGCCGCCGCCGTGGATGTACCGGAGCCGGGTCTGGCGGCTGCCCAAATCCGCGAAGGGGCCATCTCCTAGGACGAAGCGGATGGCTAAAGGGACATCGGGCAACAGGCCGAAGGGGGTTAGGAAGGTCTGGGGCCGCCGCGGCGAGGGACCTTGAGAATGGAGCACACGTGCCTTCAAAGAAGTTTGTCTTGCCCGAGCCATTCTGGCCCACTTAATTTCCGGATGCAAAAGCGGCAGGGAGTCAGAACCAGGGCCGCCATGCTCTTCCGCCTCCCGGCCCCTCTCTTCCCTTTCGCCCGGGAGCCGAGGGGCCCATTGAGCGCTTCTTTTGAGCATCTCGAGCGTCTGTGCCAGCGTACCGATGGTATTGTATCCACTATCAAAGACCACTGTTTGATCACGAAAAGTAAGGAAATTCAATATCTTTACCCGCTTGATGAACATAGTGCCGTGCGAGACCCGAGTCGCATGCCCGTGGTGGCGAAAAATGCAGTGCTCTGGCCGAGACCCGGGAGGACGGGAGAGATCGATCGAGGGAGAGGGAGAGGGAGAGGGAGAGGGAGAGAGACAGAGAGGACCACACGGGCAAAGCCAGTCTTCTGGGCGACGACGGACAAATGCGCGTGGGCGTGTGTGTGTGTGTGTGTGTGTGTATCTGTCTGCGCGTGCGAGTGCCTGCTTGTGTGTCTCTGTGTGTCTCTCTCTCTCTGTGTATGTATGTGTGTGTGTGTGTGTGCGTCCGGATGGGCAGCAAAGAGGAGCGGAGGAGGGAAGAGGGCTGTCTCAACCCTGTGTCCCCTTGGCGGGCGTGGCCGTTCAACTGAAATACATACTGCTCGAATACCCACCCCCGCGATCCTGCTCGGCACCAGCCAGATCACTGACAAGATCCCACTAACTTGCCGCGGTACCCGCACACACACACACACACACACACACACACACACACACACACACACACACACACCCGGGAGCCGAGATCTAACTTTTGGCCCCGCCTCGGGGAAACCCACACCAGAGAGAGGCGGGAGAGTGTGAGTACACAGGCACGATCGAATTCAAATCCCACCGAACTGCCAACCCATCGAGTCATGTGCGCTGATGGAACGGCATTCCGAGGTTGGGCGTGATCCGCGCCGCCGAGCGGCCCGAGTGTGTTCCTCCGCGCTCGCTGCCTCTCGTGCTTGATTCTGCGGGTCCCCGTGTCCTGCGCCCTGGCACTCATCGCGTCTCTTTATCCTTGTCTTTCCCGCTCCCCCCCCCCCCGCCCCCCTGGAGGATGTGCGGGTGTTGTCTGGCCCTGCCTGCTTGAACCACGGATTGTGGGACCATTTTTCGGCGGAGATCCCAAGAGACTTGTCGCATGGCGGCCGACGTATCGGTGAAAAGCCATCCTCCGTCTTTCCCCCTACCCCTCATCCCTTTTCATCCTCGCCCCCTTCCCCTTCCCCCCCCCCCTCCTCCTCCTTTTTCTCTCCCTCTCTTTGCTCCCCTGCGCGCCTCTCGCCCCGCCCGCCCATCGCAATTATGAGCTCGGCCGCGCGCTCGAAGATCCACCCCAAGGATCTGATCAAGACCTGGAAGATCGTCAAGGGCGATCGCGTGCGTGTCCACCATCGGCCTGGGGCCCATATCTCGCTTACCCATGTTTCTTGCCCTTCCTGACCCTTCTCCTTCCCTCTCCGCTCTCTGGGGTCGACCACCGTCAGGTTGCTGTCATGAGCGGCAAGTCTGTCGGCCACATTGGCGAGGTCGTCAATGTTATCCGCAAGCAAAACCGCGTGGTGGTGGCCGGTGCCAACCTCGTCAAGAAGCACCAGGCCCCGACCGGTACCTCTCGTGGTGGTATCCTCCAGAAGGAGATGCCGATTCATGTCAGCAACGTGTCCCTCCTGGACCCGAAGGACGGGTGCGTTTCCGCCTCTCGCCCCCCTCCCTCCGCTGCTTTGCTCCCTCATCGCTCCGGCCCATCCATCCCCATGTGCATGCTTGCCCCTCCGCCTCCTCCCCCTTTGCCGGTCGCTGACCTTATGGCTCTTCCGTCCTGCAGCCAGCCCACCCGTGTTGAGATGAAGTATGTGGTCGAGGGCGATGGCTCCTCCTTCCGCAAGGTCCGCGTCTCCAAGCGCTCCGGTCTGATCATCGAGAAGCCCCCTCCGTCCTTCATGACCCGCAAGCGCAACCTCGATGGTGCGTGTGGCTTGCCGGCCACCTCGGCCCCGGCCCCCGAACCCATTGATGACCATCTACTGCCTCCCCCCCCCCCCTACACGCACACGCACACGCACACGCACACGCACACGCACACGCGCACACGCACACGCGCACACACACACACACGCTTACCGCCGCTAACCCCCCATTCGCTTGGGATCTTCCCCTGGTCTCCTCCCCGGCCCCCCAGTTGGCATCAAGGACACCCCGGTCGAGGCCTCCCGTGGTGACTATGAGATTTCCCTCATCCGCAACGCCCCGCTGACTGGTATTCAGCCGACCCACCGCCCGTGGGTGATGATGCCTCGCCGGATGGTCCTCAGCGAGGACAACCCCCTGCTCGGTGGTGCCGGGCTTGGTAACGAGGCCATCGTCGAGAAGCGCCTTCAGAAGGCCGAGGCTGCGGCCCTCCGCCGGCAGGCCCTCCTCCATGCTGCGGCCCTGACCACCACCTCCACGCCGTCCGCCGACCCCGTCGACCTGGCCGACCCCGCCTCCACCCCCCAGGAGCAGAAGCCGGCCACCGAGAAGCTCGAGTAAGCGCCCGGGGAAGCTGTTGCGCTCTCTGTCCATCGGACATTCTTGCGCGCATCCCTCTCTTCCCTTCCCTGCGCGCCTCAGTTTTTTCCCTGCGCACGCGCGCGCGCGCGCCCCGCGAGCGTGTGCCTTCTCCTTGTGATTTCTCCCCCTCCTTTTCTCTCTCTCTCTCTCTGCTCGCTTTCTCATTTAACACACATCCAGACAAACAATAAACGCCCCTATAGATCATCCGGCATCGTCTGCCCGCCCCCCCCCCCTGCCTTTGTTTTGATCTCCTGCAAAAACTGTGTCCGTTCGCGTACACGCTCACACACACTGGGGTCTCGAAGAGGAGTATATTGAGGGGATAGTGATGCTGGAAGCCCATGGGAAGGAGGCGTGGGGGAGTCTGGGACTCTGCCCTGGCATCTTTGCGAGCTCTCTCTCTCTCTCTCTCTCTCCACAGCGCTGTCAGGGATGAGCACAGCAGGGGGCGAGGAGAAGACAGGAGCGGAAGGATGGACCGACCTCACAGGAGCATGTGCTCGCATCTGAGCATGGCAGCCAGTGCCAGGTGTTGAGGGGGGGGAGAGAGGAAGAGAGGGAGGGAGAGAAAGAAAAAGAGAAAGGGAAGGGATACGGAGCACGCGAACTGCCACCACAATGGTGACAGGCGTGGAAATGTGAAGAAGCGGGCCAAAAAAAAAAGGGCAGGGTGCTGCTCGCTTGCATGAGCCCTCTCAGTTGACGGCGCGGTAATAGCGGTGCTCACTCTCGGCGAAGCCCTGGGCCTCGGCCTGGTTGGACCCGAGTGAGGTCGGCAGGATTGGCCGGGACTCCATGAGGGCCGCCTGGGAGGCACCGCCGCGAGCCTGGTCGGCATCCACCTGGCGGCTGCTGCCGAAGAAGCCCACCACCGCGGCGACGACCGCCGCACCGGCGGCCACACCGCCGACCATCAGAGCCCCGGCCGCGGCCATGGAGTTCTGCCACAGGGTCTTGTTGTCGGTGTCCCCGCCGGCGGCAGGGGCGTCATCTTCCAGGTCCGGGAAATCACGGTACAGCTCATCGAGCGGGATCTTGGGATTGCCGATGGGCCCGGGGTTCGGGCCGGGGCCGGGTTCGTCATGGCCAGCACCCCCCTCGGGGAGATGCTCATCCAGACGGGTGGGGCCCTTGAAGGGCCGGTCGGGAACCGGCTCCGCCGCCAGGTGGTCCTCGGGCAGATGCTCCCGGTCGGCCTCGCCATGCGGCAAGTCTACCCTCAGCTGGTCGAGCTCACTTCGCTTGAGAAAAGGAGACGGCTTCTGGAAACGGGAAGGCTTGCGCAGGCGGCCGGACCAGGGCCGGTCGGTGGACACGGTGCGCGGCCGGCCCGACGGGGTGGGCAGCTCGCTCGGGCGCTCGGTCGGATCCTCCGGATGCACGGTGGGGGTGGTGTCGTTGCCATCGCCAGGGCCCGGGCGGATGGTGGGCTCCAGGGTCGGGTAGCCGACTTCCTCATGCCACTCGCGGTTCGGGCCATCCTCCCGGTGGTCCAGGTCCGGCTGGTGCTCCGGCTCCTCGGCCCAGCCGGGGAACTTGTGCACCGGCGAGGTGGCCATCGGATACTTGAGGGGGGGAATCTTGGTCGAGGTGGGCACGCAGGATCCCTTGACGCACCACTTGCCCGAGCCACAGGGGGTACCATCAAGCTGGTAGGTGTGGTTGAGCCAGCAGCTGTCGTTGGCCTTCTTGGAGCAGAACACCTTGCAGATGTAGTTCTTGCCGTTGCTGCCGAACCAGTTGGGATCGCAGGCCTCGGCCGACTTGCCGAAGGCCATCTTGCACTGCTGCTTGGCATCGTAGCACTTGCCAAAGATCGGGTTACAGCTGGACGAAGGCCAGCTACCGGTCTTCTCTGTGCTCGCGCGCGCGCGGAGGGCCCGCCGCGGGCGAGTAGGGGTAGGCAG